TACTCAATGTTCCATTCCTGCAGAGACCTTGGTATGTTTGGTAAAACATGCTATGTGTACATCTGCTGGGATTAGATGTTTGGCAGGGGCACAGTGCCACCTGGTGGATGCAAGACAAACTGAAGCCCATGTGCATTGTGGCTGAAACCACTGCATCTATACGAACTGAAGAAAGAAAGGGACAGTCTGTCAAATCTGATTATCTTTACATCTGTAAATAAACAAGAGAGTCAGTTAAAATGAGCTGCCATGACTCGCCATGTATTAGTTTTGTCCATTGTAGCCACTGCTAAATGTCTCATTACATTTATTTACAGCTGTATCCAACAAATACCACATTAAGTTTAATGGAACATGTACAACTGTGGTATTTGAGCTTTTGTTTACAAATGTACCAGAGAGTTTTACATATTAAAAGGAGACAAAAAATTACAGATTCCAGTCTCGCTTGCCTTTTAATAATGGAGCAACTTTGCATTATTGATTAAGAAAATGCATCATTGTGTGGCCTGAATGACATCTTTGGTTTATAGTTTATAGCTGAGACAAACACTGTTTTCACTTTAGTAACAAAAAACAAATGTAATGCAAACATTATCATTGAAATTATACCAGTAAACTATGTGCAATTTACAGCACTAGATTAATAACATGACATTTTGTGCGTGAAGAAAAAAACTAAAATACTGACAGAGAGGCTAAAACTAGAAACTACATGAACAAAATACTGATGTATGATTATTTACTCCAGTCGAAATTCAACTCAGAATCAGATTTTGGAGGCAAAGTGTTGCCTTTTTTTTAATTTGGAAGAAAACAGTTACAGTATTAGTCCCAGCTTTATCTTGGAAAACAAATGACTTGCTTAAAAGGCCCGTTTTGAAAAACTTTACTGTTTAAGACCTGACAGGGAACCACTAAATCTGTGCTGTGAATAACCTAAACCACAACAGAAGACAAATAATGAAGCATGTGGTGCTTTGTTTGTGAGCTGAGCTGAGCTTCATTATGGTTGTAAAATGTGAGCTAGAGATACTGAACCTCTGTTGCTAATCATGAAAATAAGAGAAATGAAACTAAATTAGCATTAATTACAGCTGTGGGCATCAAAATAAATCATTTAGGGATTATATATTTCTTTTTTTGTCTCTAATAATGTCAACTTTATTGCCAGATGGCACTGAGATAAAGACAAAGTTCAGAAAGTTTATTTTTTACAGAACAACTGAGTGATTGAATAACTAACAAGCTAGGCACAAAATAATGACCACAACGTGCATGCTATTTCTTACAGTGCTAGTAAAAATGATTATTGTTGGAACTAAGTTTAATAGCAGTCTGTGGATGTGTGATTAAAGGTGTTGGATTGTATCCTATCCTCATTAAAAGTGAAGTATTGTAAAGCTCCATTCTGTTTCCCATCTTAGAAGCACAGAAAACCTCAGTCTGCAGTGATGGACTCGTTATGTTGTTTCACCTCACTCTTGTTTTTTTTCTCATACATGGACATGGATCTGAAAGATTATGAATCTCCAACAGCACTACATACTGTATCTGTGCAGCAGAGGTCAAGGTCAAAGTGTTTATTTATCATATGCACAGTGAGGAAACGTGTTTCCCTGTACAGTGAAATTCTTACTTTGCCGTCCACATGAATACCACACAATACAAATGAAATATAAAGTAGATAAATAAGTAACACAAAATCTAAGGCACTTTAAGCAGCAATATAATAAAAATATATAAGAATATAATAGAGAATGTATGCTACATGGGAGCTGCATGTGCAGCAGTCAATGTGCAATTATGCATGTGCAAACTGAGAATGTAAACAGTACAGGTCGACAGTACATGAGGCAGCTTTCCTACGCACCCTGTGGTGGTAAATGCTCTGCAGAGAGGGCAGTGGAGTCCTGGTGATCTTCTCCGCAGTCTTTACCACTCTCTGCAGGCGCTTGCAGTCCATAGCAGTAGTGCTGCCATACCAGACAGTGATGCAGCTGGTCAAGATGCTCTCAATGATGCACCTGTAGAAGTTGCAAAGGATCCTGGGCGACATGCCAAACCTCCTCAGGAAGTACAGCCGCCGTTGGGCCTTCTTGACCAGCTGTGTGGTGTTAAGTGTCCAAGTGAGGTCCTCACTGATATGGACGCACAGGTATTTGAAGCTGCTCACCCTCTCCACCCCGGATGAACAGTGGCCAATGAGATCTCCTCCTCTTCCTCATGTCCACTATCATCTCCAGAGGGTGAGCTCTGAAGTTTCGATCATCTGTGGTGGTGACACTTCATTTAATAAATGAGCAACTCTAAATCAGTTCTACAGGGTATTATAAAACTGTTAAACTACAAATCTGTATGACCAAGGGGAAAAAATAAACACTAGCACAAATCTATCCTCTGTTGTTAGGAGGTTGAAAGAGGCATTAAAATGCTAAAACATATGAACTCCAGTAAAACATAAAAAAATAACAGAATTTTGAATAAAATACTCTGCTATTTGAAACAGTATCAAACTCTTTAACATATTGGTGCTATTTATGAGTTGAATCTAAACTTTGTGATTTTCAACTTTGGCATATACAGTACCACTGCTCATGAATTAATTTCACTAACTAAAAAGACCACATTGCTGCTTTTTCTGCAATTAAAGACACTAAGTGTAAGATCTGAACACTTTGGACTTTTGCTCCTTCTGGTGTCAAGGTAAAACTAAATAAACAAATAAGTCATCTGCAGGCAGTAAGCTACTGATAATCATTTAAAACTCTGCATAAAGTAATGGAATGGCACCAAGGATTGGATGTATGTTTTGTACTTGCCTGACAGAGGTGTATTCCCTGAACATTTTCCAGCTCTGTCCAGTGGAAGAGACCAACACATCACTTCCATGACACTGAGGATCACCCACAGTGTTACACCCAACACCACAGATCACTCAGGCAAGAGAGAGATGAGAACAAGATGCCAGACATGTGAGTTGCTTCCAGTCAGTAATGAATAATTAGCTGTTAGAATGGAAATGCTTTTGTGTTAGAGGGATGGTGTGATTGGAGGTGTGATGATCGCCTCCTAGTGTCACTCACATGAGAAGCCATTTGACCAGAGAAGTCATACATGTCACATGGAACTTGCCTGTGATCAAACAAATTCCCCCCATTGGCCAGAGTGGCAGCCATACTTCCTCAGTGAAGCAAAGCTAAGAGCAGAAGAGGGTCCATTTATGATTGTAGTTATTGGAGCTGTTGTCTCAGCTAAATTATTGTCGAGATCAACAAAGACAGCTGATTCTTCATGAAACATTCTCTTCATGACCAAAACATTTTAAAAGTCTAAGGCATCGATCATATCTGCTCCTGAGCGAAAACACTGGTGAATGAAATATGACCATTATAACTATTTAATTGACTAACATATGCTCATTAACAAGGTACAAATGATTTCTCAGTCAGAAAATCCAGAATATTTTGACCAGTTCATTAGGCTCTATTTTAGTCTGGCCCATGAAATGGCAGAGCTTTACCAAGGACCATTGACCCCAACAATATGGCTCCCAGGTCAAAGGGTCATGCTGTATCATGCTGAAGTGGTGACACAGTGTGTGAGATGCATAGAGAGGCCAGACAGCAACGATACCCAATTTTTTTAATATTAGCAATTCCTTGCCACTATATGTTATAAACATATGCAGAGTTGAAACAATAAATTCATTAGTCAAGAAACAGAAAATGAATGTGGTAATCAGTTGATTAACTGGCATTATACCAGTTAAAATATGGGGTTTCTCAATTACCCGCTTTGATTAGAGTGTTACACATCTCTTTTCATTGGTACATATACCATTGTTTACCTATCTGTGGAGGAGAAATGCAAATTAATTAATGCCTTTGCAGTTGGTTGTGTGGTCCACTTTCCACCAGCAGCAGGAGTTGTGCACATTCACGAGCTATCCTCTTGTTTTTGGAGTTATGAGGGGTGCAAAGATAATCTAGAGGTGCCCATGATTAAACATTAAATGGCTGGAAACAAGCAAAATGAGCATGCCATGGACACTTCAAGCTTTATATCACACAGGTGCAGCAATAAAAATTATTATTTTTTTGCCCCACATATTTTAAAGCCAAAGAAAAACTTCTATATCTGATCACCTTCTCTTTCATGTAGTATCCAGTAGCAACATTTCTGTTGCTTGTGTCTTTTTCTGACTGAAACCTGAGACACAGAAACAGAAGGGGTCAGTGCTGAAACATCAGTAATGCAGCAGGGCAGTGGACAGGGAATCTGCCTGACTGGGCGCGTTATATGCAGATATATAGAAATAAAATCCATCTAAATTATTTGACAACGCATTAACACAGCACTGCTGAATCCTCCATATTCTTGGCTTTCACAAACTCCATAACCTATGTAAGCAAAGATGACATTTAATGTGTACAGCAGTGTCTCGGTTCCTACGAAGATAATCATGGTTTCATATTCACGGTCTTAACAGAGAAGAAAATCTGAGGCATGTAGTCAGATTTCTCTGCCTTAAAAATATGCTGATTGTAATTGCCATATTCATTTAGTAACTACATTCATGAATGCTAAATATGACTTCAGTATGACTAATTACACAGTGTGAAACAATACATAATCGTATTTCTAACTGCATAATTCATCTGGTACAGTAAACAGTTATCATATATTGCAAAGTTCAGGGAGCATTTCATAAACCAAGATTCAAAACAAGTGTGAAAAATCATCCCACTGATCCTGTGTTTTTATGATTTAAATCTGTAAATCAAGCCTTAAATATTATCAGTTAATCAGGTAAGACTTCTCAAACTATTTCATACCCTTTAGGATATTTTGAGGTTACAGTATATTATGTAATAACTTGTTAGACTTTATTGATCCCACAGTGGGGAAATTCTAGTGTTCCAGCAGCAGTAAGGGACAAAAACAACAGAGAGCAAGCAACAAGACACCATAAGAACAGATACCACACATCTTGAGAGACAAATTCAGAAAGCATGGAAAGAAAAAAACACAAAAGAGCACAGTGCTAGTGCTACTTTGTGACAATACTGATACATAAACACAAGGATTGATCACTTCCAGAATACAGTTTAACTGCTGGCATTCACAATAAACGTCTATTACTGATGCAGTGAAATTATTGTTATTTTCCAGACTTTCAATGTGTGAGGCACAATAAATTTAAAGTTATTCTACAAATCCCATAATCAGTGTCATTTTAAAGTTTGAAAATAAAAAATATATCCAGTTAACTTTGATTTCAGGATTTATTAAATGTTTTGCTGTTAGACTACTTTGAGATTTTGAATTTAGCCAAGTGTTCAAAAGCATGTGTTAAGCTCTAGGGTTGTGGAGTCTGCCATGTTCCATCATGCAGCAAAACTTTGACTAACTTCAAAACTTGAAAAGCACCACCACTTAATCGTTTTCATGTACAGCATGTGTGCATGTTTGTTCCCAATCAACAAACCTATTTAGAAGCCATCGTGATGAGGCTTCTCATCATTGTAACCCAGAATATAGATAGTTTTTCATTGCAAAGCTAGCAGCTATTTTATTTGTGCATTGCATTTTTCTTGATAATAAAGTGATGTATATTTATCTTCTGATGCTGAACAGTCACCATGCGAAAGAACATACAGTAAATAACTGTTTCAAAAGGTACAGAGTTAACAAGCAAAATATCTATACATTTACTAAATACCTTTACATGGCAGATTATGCACATAAATAAAACAATAACCGTAGCATGAAATCATTACATGGTCAATGTAGATGAGGAGTATTTTGAAAAGTAAAATAAATTTTTTAAAGTAAGCTGATCACTTTGAAGACATTTCTTTAAAGTCAGCGAGTTAAATGCTCTTTAAAGGACGTGGCAGCAACAGCTTAAGCCCAATATCAACCACACAGGAAGGCATGTAAGAGAGGGGGATCCAGACAAGCTTGGCGTCCCAGCCGGCGCTGTATCTGGTGCGTGGGTATGCAGCAGTCAGAGCGTGCTCCATGCAGTTGGTCACCTTGGTAATGTCAGGATCGCAGATAAACTTCATGGCCAGATGCTGAATCTTCAAGACTATAAAGGAGATTTACATACTGTGAACTGACGGACACATGTTGTATGCATATCACTTCATTTCAAAGCATTTTTCACCCAAAAAAATGCAAGTATTCTATATTGAGTTAGATTCATGGTGTTAAATTTTACAAAGTAATAATAAACCCTCATTTAAGGCTGTTTCACACCCTAAATTTTAAGATTTTTAAATGTGATGGTATCACTGACTGGAACTATATTTTTCCTTTATGTACTGTAACACATAACAGTTACATAAGTGTGTTCTCAGGAAATAAATGCAAAAGGATTTTGATATGGAAAATCATAAAAATAAATGTTTTCCACATGTTGGAATTCATAATTTTAATATATCACTTTAATGGAAAATTAGCTGACAATCATTTTTGAATTGTGACTTTAAAGCCCATACTATGATTGAAAAACTTTGAGTAAAAAATGAGATGTTTTACATCTTGGAAATGTGTCAGTCAAAAACACATGAAACAGATACACTACATTTTGTGATCACATGAGCCAAATGATGCTAACTTCAGTTTTAATGAAAATCTTCAATTCACTGATGGTCTGCAGTCTACTGTACTTACACTTCTCAAGGTACTTTTCTCCATAGCTGGCTTGTACCTCAGGGCTGAGCTGGCTCCACAGGCGGTTCATTTCCCTTTCAATGGCCTCGAGGTTTGTCAATGCAGTCTTGAAAAACCCCGGCTCAATGATGCACACTTTGATTCCAAAGTAGCTTATGTCTCTCCTGTATACAGATAACATCTTGTACACCAGAAATGTACAGTACATGTATATATGCATATTTGATATCAGCAAGATAAATTTAAATAAGATTGGGTAACAATTTCTAACAAGTCCACCTTTATAAAGGATAATTAGTAACTAATGGCTTTATTGATGCCTGGTATAGTATTTACTGGTATGTTAAAGTTCAGTTATAACCCAATAACAGATGTACCAATGGGACTGTGAGATTGTGAAGAATCCTATTTGGCAATAGTGTAGTTATAAATGTTGGTAATCCACAAATAAATACCTGCCAGTTTTTAAACATTTTTTTAGAAATGTTAATAAACAGTTAATAAATTCATTTTAGCCAAATTTTGCAGCTAGAAGGTAAGTGATGATAAATAACAGGACTGTAAAGTGTCCTAACAGAAAATCTTGCAACTCAAACACTGTTCTTATTAACTGATTATAAGTAATTTTTAGAGCATTAGTAAATGATTTGTTGAAAAATAGTAAAGCTATTCATTATTTATACACCTTTTACTTAGGTTTGTGACACAGGCTACAATCTTTGACCTAAACTGTTTATATTGTCAGTGAATTTGTATTGAAAATGCAATCAGGAATCCAATGAAAGAAGACAGCAAAGGGTTTGGTTCATACAGTAAGAAGCACAGCTAAATTAAATCTTAGAAAATTGAAGGGAAAGTCCAACATAATCCCTTGTCTGGTCTTACCAGCCAATATGTCAAGCTGACATATGCTGAGGTCATCAGTTTGTGTATTACTGCAATTTGCTGGATGGGAAGTGTTTTATTGCTCTAAATATGTCATGTTTTTTCTTTTTCTGTATTTACTAAAAATATTCACACAAAAAAATGCCCAGCACCCCAGATTTCCCTCTTGGGACAATAAGGATTGTGACTTGTATGACAGTTTATCCCAGTACTCAGAACATCATCTCTTCTAAATAACAGGAAAAAACAAACTGGGTGCACACAATACTGTCAGGTCCGCTCGGCGCGACCTGCCTCTCTTTCTTTTCTCTCTCCTGCTTTTCTCTTTTTTTGTGGGATCCATGCCTCAGCTGTGTCACTTTTTGTAATTAGTGACTCGTGGGTTGTCGCGCACAGCTGGGGCATGTTAGGTAATGATTTCCTTACCTTATTTATACCTCTGGCGGACGCTCCGCCGTCGCCGGAGCATTAACTACTGTAATGTGCATACCCCGTAACAGCCCTATACTCGTGGTATGTAGTGTACGTCATTTTGTTTTCCCACGCTGACAATTCCTGTGCTGTGGAAAACCGTTTTGTTCACCTGTCCTCATGGTTAGCCTGTCTATTCACCTGTCCGTCCTCATCCTCCTGTTCACCTTAGTCTTGCCGTTAGTTTGTCCTTGTACTGTATTCATTGACTGTTCCTTTTCTTTGTGTGTGTTCCCCACCATAAAACCACCTTTTTTTTTTACTAGCACCTGGGCCAGCAATCTTGAGTCCTGCCTCAGCTCTCCCTCACCCTCCTGGTGAGGGGGACTAAACCATAACAAATACTTTCTTTGTGTTTACAGTACCAAAGCACAGTAGTTTTACATAATGTCACATTATGCTCTTATCTAATGTTTATGAGGTTCTACAAAAGAAATCTTACCTGAGGCAGTCGGAGAAACACTCCACTGCAAACTTGGAGATGCAGTATCCACCGCCATTTGCAGCCACTCTTCCCAGCACTGAAGCAACATTTACAATGCGACCACGAGCCTTTTTGATGAGAGGCAGGAAGGTCATTGTCATGGCAATCACTCCATCCACGTTGACTTTCATTATGCTGTGGAAATCCTCCACTTTCATCCACTCTGAAGGACCCATGGGTAATGCGCGTCCCGCATTGTTCACAATACCCCAAAGTCCTACAGAGGAAATGAAAGATAAAAGGGGGAGATATTCTCTGTTAGAGACATGCTGTGTGAAAATTAAATTAACTAAGTCACCTTACATTGCCCGACTTTTGCACATTATCATTTAAATCATGCAAATCGTCTTTTACCCATATCGCCAACCTCCTTCTTGGTCCACTCCATGGCTTTCTGGATGCTGTGCTGACTGGTCACATCCAACAGGACCGTCTTCAAATGAGGGCCTGTCACTCTTTTCAAATCATCAGCTCCTTTTTCTGTGAAGCAGCCAGCCAGCACATGGAAACCTTTGCGATCGAGCTTCTTGCACAGCAGGTTTCCGAATCCAGTGTCACAGCCAGTCACAAAGACATACTTGTCAGTGACTTTATCAATCTCCAGGCTGTCTCTGTATAGCCACACAATAATCCACAACACCACAAAGGTACCAGTGATGTACAACCAAACATTTTCCCTGTGAGAGAAAAGAGGAGAAATTATGACAAGAGGAAGGCAGGGATGTTAACTTTCAGAAAATATTCTAGATGTGCAAACCAAATCATTGCCCAAAATGTACAGCACTGCAGCAACAGCATTCTTACCATAAAAGGTGGTAGGCAAACTGCATATCCATGTTTCTTCCAAGATTAGAAGTGGGTTTTTGGGCAACTGGAGGACTTAAGCAACAAACATGTTTAGCAGGTGTCTCTATAGTGTGTGTGTGTGTGAGACAAGCATCCTAAACCAGCTTTTCAGAAGATAGAATGGAATGTGGGAATGCCCACAACCAGAGCTCCACTCAGTTTCACAATATTGTCGAGTTTTATTGAAACCTCGTGCTACTCTGCTGAAAACATCTGATTATGGGTACAATAATTTTTTTCACTGAAGGCCTTAGGGGGAGAACTGTAATACAGAACAGCTTTGAGCACATGAAAAATCTTTGGCTAATAGTCTTAAGGAAGAAGGGAAAAAATAAAGGCATTTGTGAGGGAAGGGAAGGAGAGCCAAAGAGAGAGAGAGCGAGAGAACATGTGTATGTGTGGGGCCTTTGTTTTGGAGCATAAATTTGATGTCCGTGACAGAGCTGCTTAGGGTGAGCACTGCTGAAAACAAGTTCGTTTTCAGGGAATTAGTAAAACTGAAGGAAAATACTTCAGCGTGCTATTTGTGAGATCAAAGTTGTTTACACACTTAAATCTCATGCAGTACTGTTGCTGTTGGTACAAGAACATTAATTAAAATGATCCTGCACAATTATAATTCTGTTTAAAAAAAAAAACTGTTTATTTTCACAACTCTAGTAAATATATACCAATGAATATACCAGAATACCTCAAATATTCATATAAATCAATAAGATATTATCATATAATCAAACTTCAAATACCAATTAATCTTTTTATGCGGTAGTACAAAATTTAAGACCCACAGCAAAAAGGAGACTCTGGAGTAATTCAGTGGTGACAGACACAATGAAACTGAGAACTCCTACCTCCTACCTTTTCCTCTTTGTGAGACGTGGTGAACCTCCACAAGTTATCTGTCCTCTTTCTTTTTCCTCTCTGGTTATTCTTCTGTCTAAACCCAGGGGCTGGTCAGAGGGGCTTTATCCCTGTGGTTTATCCCTTAAGGAAGTCCACCACTGGTAACCCTTAGTCCACAACCTTTGGATTGTGCATGTGTGTCTAAGTAGAAAAATTGTGCAATGTGTGCATTGTGCCATATCAAAGTGAACACAGTGAACTTTTGTTTTTGGATATTTCATCTTCTCATTATATATTAACTTCTTTCAAATCGGGTTCTTTCAAGAATGCAACAAGAAAACTTGCCATTCCTTTTAAAACCTGATGTATATTTTAAAGGTTTTGGTACAGACCTATGATAATTCCACATGTTAAAGCCTTGTGTACCCTTTAAAAATGTTCGTAATCATGTTGAATCATTCAGTTCACCAAAATATACCCTTTTAAGGCTTAAACAATACATTCACTAATGTTATACTCTGTAACTGGTTGCCTATATATTCACAGTGATATTAAACAAGAAATGGCCATTGTGCTGTACATTGTATTGTGGCTTATTTCAACCAGTGGCTAATCTGCCCAGGGCCTTCAGAATCAGAAGTATTTTGTATAAACATGCCATGCTTCACGATCGCACTGTCACAATGCTGGCTTTGACCAAGATTTTTACATTCACATGATGAGCCTTGATGCGCTACCTGCAGGATCAAGTCTGTTACCTGTTTTCGATCCTATATAGTGTGCAGTGATTTGAAAATTTAATTAGGTGCCAAAGATGCCTGCAATTATGTGAGTGAGCTCAACAGCCATGATATAACTTTCTTTCACGCATTCCTTGAATTGTCCAATCACCCTAGTCAGGCAAATAAATAACCTTTATTGATTTACAAATAGTTTTGTTGCAAAACTTGATCCTCACATTATAAACCTTAAATTCTGCCCTTTACTTTTATAACAGCTATAATTAACCCATGTGCCAAAATCCTGACCGAAAACTCTTTTGCAACTAAACTTTAGGATGATGTTGTCTTTGTGGGAGGCAACACAGTCGTGGGTGAACAGGGTGTAGAGGATGGGACTGAGGACACATCCCTGTGGGGTACCAGTGTTTGTAACAGTGCTATGAAGAGTATCCTGATGTAAGAGTCTCCATTTTCCAGGTGAGAAAGGGAATAGTGGAGAGCAGCCGTGATTATGTCTGAGGTGGCCCTATTGGGCCGGTAGGCATACTGCAGGGGATCCAGGGTGTCTGGTATACTGCTCTGGATTTGGGCTAGTATCAGTCTCTCAAAACACTTCATAAAGATTGGAGTGAGTGCCACTGGCCTGTAGTCGTTCAGGCAGGTGACCGGGCTCTTCTTGGAAAGGGGGATGATGGTTGTGGTCTTAAAGCAGGTGGGAACAATGCTCTGGCTGAGGGAGAGGTTGAAGATGATGGTGAGAACATCAGCCAGATCGCTGGGACATGCCCTGAGAGTCCTCCTGGGGATGTTGTCCAGTCCTGCCACTTTGCGGGGGTTGATCTTCCTCAGGACTGTTTATCCAGGGCTTCTGGTTGGGGAACCTCCTGACTTATATGGTGGGCACAATGTTGTCGATAAGAATCCATTCTTACATATCCTGCTCAAACATCCCTTTGCAAATCAGGTTCTTTTTGTAATTTTTTTTTTTTATAATTTATTTTCACAACAGTTGTTTGGAAGCCATATTCATGAAATGGTAAAATGCCTAAAAAAAAAAAAAAAAAAAACACACCAGTGCAACATTAATTTTATTAAAATTAATGTTTCATCAAAAAGTTGCAGTTATCTGACAAAAACAGTACCATCATCACTGTACATAGAAATATAACACAGACGTACACATTTCAGGTATCAGGTGATGAATAAAAGCTTTTCCATATGATGTGCTGACTTTTAGGAGATAGGCCTCTACACACAAAGAAAACAGGTGGAAACTTGTTGATTTTTTTTAACAAGTCATCACTGTGTTCTTGCCCTGGTTAACAGCAATGCTCACAGAACAAAGTAACCAACATTAGTCCACTCAGGTGTGCCATGCAGATGAGCAATGTTGATGCTGCTTGCATCTTTGCTGCCAAGTATGAACTGGGTTTCCATTTCATTGCAGGGTATTTAGCTTCAGCTTTAACTGTCCAACATTTCTCATGACATTTATTAGGAGGCAGACTGAAGCTGACCCTTGTGGACATACTCCAGAGCTGTGGCAATGGTCCTCATGTCCATCTCAATACTTCGGGCCCAGTTCTCCACATCACCAATTTCCTGTTCAAAAACAGAATTACTGGTTGCCACCATGTACATCTACCAGTCTAATGTATCATCAGGACCAGCGACAGCCAAGTTTTAAACATTTCCAAGCATCCTTCCCACTCACGTCACCCTGTATAGATTATATGAGATAAGTAATTGCAGAAAAATTGGAAACTGATTGTTGATTTGCTTTTACCACCTGTCAAATCTGCTCAGGTCTAGGGACTTGTGTCAAGCCCCTTGCTATTTGAAAAAGGGGCACTGGGAGATAAGGCAGCATTACTGACACCTGCAACTCACCGGCCACTATATTAGGTGCAATTGTATGTAATTCCATGCAACACTTCTGCCTTAACATCTGTGCTTATGAAGCTCAAAATGTTTCATTACAATATATTTAGAGGTGTTTCTAAATTTTTTCCTCCCCAGCTACATACCTCTCATGTATGAGTGGTCAGAATATCAGGAACACCTCTAAATACAACGTAGTCTGGTACAACACCACCTTTAACTATGACATTAATAACAACATAATTAAATGTATATATTTGACAATTTCACCAAAAACTGAAATTGTTTGAGTTTCATAAACATATATGTTAAGGCAGAATTGCTGCACTGAGTTGTGAGTGTATAACTCAATATAATGTGAAAGAGGAGCACATACCGTTGAACCCACTCCATATACATTGTACATCTAACTCAATGACACGTGACAATGTCTGCAAGTGCTGCTATTGTAGACCTTCAGTTTAGAGAATCAAATTTTTTTTTTTTTTTAAATAAAAGTAGAAGCACCCCAAGAGATGATTTGACAGATAAATTTACAGGCTTATGAAATGTAAAAAGGTTTAACTCTGATGTTGATACACTATAGTATGTAGTTTAGTTTAACATCTCTCTTCCTGATATAGTGTATCCTACCTTTAGGGCCTGATTGAACCCCTCCACCATACTGATCCACTGAGCAGTCTGTTTGGAGAACTGGCTCGCCTGCACTTGGAGGGTCTTCACCTCATGGTCGAGCTTACGTTGATTTACATAGGCCTGAGCAACTCTGCAGTAACAAAGGAAACAACAAGGGGCAGTTCATTATTTTTAGTACATGATATGTATTATATATGTCCACTGTAGCATGCGAAAGTGAATTTGTATTTCAAAGTCCAAAGTGAAGGCAATTAATATCTCCATTTAACCTACTGTAATTTTCAAACTAGTGAAAATCTTACCACATCCCTAAGAGGACTCTGGTCATAATCCTTTACATAAAGGAATAACACAACAATCTTCTTTGCATCCCACACTTGTTCTTTAAGCTGCTTGTCTTGGTTTCATCACAACTTTCACAATGTTAACAATCTATTTATACTATTTATGGTTCAGTCATATATTGAGACTATTTATTCCACCAGAAATTGATTGTTTTATTTTACTGACCCAAAAAGTGCAGTGCTGGTGTGCAGCACCAGCATCATCAGTCCCTTCAAGGGACAATGTTTCTATGCTGACGAACTCTTTGGTACACATGTCTTGTATAAGAAGCAGGAGGACAGGATGGTATTCCAGGGAGCTGGTTCAACAAACTGAATTTAACCCTAACTGTGAGCTGACTAACCCTGAGGTGGAAACCACTGGGTTTTCACTTCCAGAACAGCTGATCAGAGGTAGTTCAGTCAATTCTGAGTATGTTCAGTTTGAGTCAAGCATGTGTATGGGGACTATAAAAAGCCATCAATGGCGCTCTGATACATAATTCACCATGGCAACAGGTAAATAAACAGCACAGCTGCCATTTTCATCCAGTGTAGCTAGAAATATTAGTGCATGATAATGCACACATACAGTATCTTAAAAACACAGCAGCTACAGTAAAAGAGCCTGAGCTGGAGAACAGAGTCAAAACTGTGTTACATTTTATTCAGGGTCTCCCACTCATTCATTTGTTCAGCAGACATGGATTTCTTTCATGGATAATAAAGTGTGAGGTCTCTGCTTTGTTTACAGTCTGCTATGCTCTTGAGCTTTCACTGAGATCTTTCACATGCACAATTCGATCTTGCTACGTCGTTTGTAGTTTATGGGACAACATTTTTAACAAATAGGCTATGTTGGTCTGGGCTTTTGTAATGAAGAAAACTGGCACCCAGTTCAGTGGTGTACTTCACTGATGTGTTTTTAATCAATTTTTGACAGCAGGGGTCTATGGCACAGACGAACAAACTAAACCAGGTTGGAAACATAACAGACATTAACAGTGAGTAGAAGCTGTTCATTGTTGATTATAATTTCTGTACAGGGCTTGGTGGAAATACTATTAATACACAAAATGGCCTACCTTATCCTTTAATGTGCTCTAATATTTGCTTTAATATTGACAGTTTGAATGAGGAAAAGAAACTGCATCTCAGACAGCTTCTTTGGATTTGGCAGGAGGGGTATACAGTATTTTCTGACATTTTATTAACTAAATCTAGAACCTAAAAGTAATCACCAGATTAATCAGTAATGAAAAGAATGATTTTTGCAGAGCTAATAACTAAATTAAAAACCACCTGTATACTACAGTTGTAGTTAAAGCTACATGATTCAAATGCTGGCATCTGTTGTGTTGTCAAAGATGAAGCTGTAGACATAAAATATACAGCATCATGTGAATGAAATATACCCTTCTCTATCTCATACTCGTTTCCCCGCAAGTGCCATCTGTGAAGTGTAACAAAACAGCAGGGGCAGTCAGCATCATTTTCATACCCAACGTTGAGGTGGTCTACCAGGGCTTCTGTCAAACAGGTGGCTGCTGCAATAGCTTCACGTCTGCGTCTCTCTGTGTGAGAAACAAAGCCAACACAGAAAAAATTGTCAACACTATATAAAAAATGGGGCTCTTCTGACTTGAATATATCTGCAAAGTAGCAAATCTTTGAAACAGTTTAATGTACTTCCTTTAACTCCTAGCATAATTGTTTTTATCATTAGACCCAGCTTCCATAGCATATGCTCAATCTGCATCAACATATCAGAGTCAGAATCAGTTTTATTGGCCAGGTGTGTCAGATACAGAGGAATTTGACTCTGGTACAGCGGCTCTCAATATGCATGTACATATCCCCACGCAAGGCAACAGCAAGGGGCAAGTAAACCAACATAAACAGTATTAACAAGCAACAAACTGTGCAAACGATGCAAAATAAACAGTACAAACAGGCAGTAAACAATGCAGACAGAGGAATGCTCATTGTGAAACGAGATAAATAGGAATAAAAACAGAGTGCTTAAAAATAGAGACCTGTACAAATCTGTATAATGTATATTTACAGGTATCGCACTGAGGATTATTGTCCAGTCCAGTCATACTGTCGTGACAGTATGCCATGATTAATTTATTCTTAATCCATGCCTTTTCGATTTCCGTTTCCAGGCACAACAGGATCCATGGTTTCTCTGTCTCTTCTGATCCCACTCTGATACAATTAAAACGGGGCCCTCCTAAAAAGCTTTGTTTTTAGCATCAGTTAGCAATGTAGCTAGCCAGCAGTAAGCGCTCACTGCGATCACTCACCCTGCAACTCCTTCCGCTCATTCTGCTTCGCCTGGTGCTCTTTCAGTAGACGAGACAGCATCTTCCTTCAATAATCGTTATGGTTATTTCGCAACGGTTCATTTAGCTAAGGAAAATGTAATTCGTAAATTATATAGCCGTGCTAAGAGTTGGCTTCCTCGTCTTCTTCTGTTGTTTCCTTAACGCGTTACTATCAAAACCACTTTGCTAATATGACTAGCCACTATGTCTATGGTTATCACGAGACCAAGCTTAAGGATGTCCGACGTGGGCGTGTGCAAAAAGACGTCACTTAATTGTAATAGTTTTATTGTTTTATCAATCAATGCAACAAACAGTGTATTAATTAGACTAGTTAGTAGCGTGCACAGTAACAAACAATTTAAGTGTTCTTTTGTAATTCAATTGTGAAACTGTTTTACGGTAATATGGTAACATCAGTTTCAGTGCCTTCAAAATAAAAATAATCTGAATTAAAAACTGCTGCAGCTGCTACTACTTACTGCTTAATATTGTAATATCTATAATAGTAAATTGAAGACAGGTAGGACCAGCAGTTGTATATAAATATCACAAACTGGGTGTGCAACAAGCAACCATTAAATCTAGGAATGTGAAAAAGCGAAGAATATTCATTAAAATTACATCATTTAGGGTTGCAACTAACTTTTGTTTTCATTATGATTAATCTAAGAATTATATTTTTGATTAATAATGTGGTTTTGGTTAATATTTGGTTTGTAAACCACTCAAAAAGAATGAAAATGAACACAAACATTTCCCTAAGCTCAAGATGGTCTTATCTTTCAATCATCACTGTCAAACTAAAAAACATTGTGCACAGTCTAGACAAACAATCACAACTCAAGATCCAATTGCTTTTCCAGTGCCTTTCAACCATACAGTTGTCTTAAAAGTGTGCCATGGACACAGATGATAATAGCTACTGAGCTTCCAGATCAGGTCTATCTGACAGTCAGTGACAATAGAGCAAATTCTATCAGCTGAAGAGAAACAGTGTGATGTAATTGAAAGCTCATGAAAAGCTAATAAGTGGGCTAAGTTAGGAAAGTTCTCTCAAACTATTGTCAAGACTAAGAATGAATGGCTGTATAAAAAAACTCATTTTCTTTAGTGTGAAATCACTTTGTAACTCTAGTGCTTAGGAAAAGTCTGGGAGAAGACAGGTCTAAATTCTGCAACACATACAGCCCCCCCCCCCTCCCCCCGTTTATTTTTATTGTGAAAAATATATCCCGGAAATCCAGTCTTGTTCCGGTGAGGTGAAACAGGTACAATATATGCTGTTGTTACACACTCCGGTGCAGTAGGGGGCGGCATACATCTTTTAATGTTGGTCCGCCAGTAAAACTAAATGAGAAGACGTAGGGAAGGTCTGTTTTGATGGCAGGCTGTTACTTGTCAACAATCTTGGCATAGCCGGAGCTAAATTTGGTCCTGTATTATCTTCTCTGGTAGGTATGGGAATTTAATATTTTCACTGAATGAGAGGTGTGGGATTTCCTCGACCGAATGATCGGAGCTTCTCAGGGAGCTGGGTGGTATTAGCATTGCTTACTAGCGTTAGTTGATGCATGGTTAGCTGAAGCCTCGGTGTTCAGGTCGTCGGCGAGCAAAGTTGCTCTAGGTAACGTTAGTGGGACTTCTTACAGTATAATAGTATCCCTAATTCACATGAACTATTCACGCTATAGCCAGTATCACACACTAACAACGTCACCTTCAAAAACATTCACGTATTAACAGCTGCTGTTTGAAGTTGTCTTGACAACAAATCCCCGGCTGGCTAACCCTCTGTTAACCAGCCAGAGAAAGCTAACAAGTTACAGTTTGTAGTGCCTTCATGTTGCAGATAGCGGAGAACACGTCGCCTCTTTGACACCTTATTGTTACAGTCTGATACCCTTAATATCTTTTTGTTAGGCTATATAAAGGTGTGTCATAGCCTAGCATTTAATCTGTCTTGTAAGGAAATTGCCAAAAGATTAGCAAGGTAGGTTTAGTGAGGCTTAAATTAGCCAAGCCAAATAAAGGATGGGATGCTCTGTTATGAAAGGCACTCGATGGTTTCTTGAATTAGCTAGGATTAAAACAAGTCACTGGGTAACGTGTATCTTTGTGCAGTGTATGTCTCAACATTAACACGATCCGGATTTTATCTCTGTTCAGCAGACAAGGCAGCAGAGGTGTAAAGTCCACACATTTTAAAAATGTACAAAATGTAAGAGTTATATATAGACAGGCAATAATTAAATTAGATTGCTTTATAGTGGGGTGATAAGAAGCAGAATTGATTTTCAAATACGTTCACAGGTACTTTCACTTCATACTGTAAAGCTAATTCACTGGAAGTATTTGTCTTTGTGTTTATGAGGGGATCAAAAGGTTAATTTATGTTTGAGTCAGCAGCATCACTGCAGTGACACTTTTTAAAAGTCTTCATATACGTCAAACTGACATACCATGCCCCCTGTTTTAGCTCCTAAGTGCATACATTACCATTGCAAGTCCAGGTCATAGTTTCCACGGACTGTAGCAACCTAATCACTCTTTAAATAGGTTGCATGCAGGGCGTGTCTAATGTTTATATCTGATGTCACTGGCTGCAGTTGTTGCAGGCCCTTTCAGTGCTGCCAAACAACGCTGTGGTGTTATGGATGAACCATGAAGGCCCAATTGCAAGTCACAAGTGAGTTGTTTTATTGCCAGAGTTGTAAGTGTGTCAACAAATACTAAACAACAAATTTGACAGACTAATGAAGTTATTGTGTACAGTTATCTTTGACTTTGAATATGGGAAGCTATAGGCTATGGGTCATTCAAATCCTATAGTAAAACATCCAGAAAGGGCAAACACTGACTGCTGTTGTATTCAGCATTGAGAGGTTGGAGGGAGTACTGGTATTACTATATTCACAAGTTAATGGAATCAGCATATTGTAGCAAAATCAACTGCTAATTAATTCTGATGAAATCTGAAAGGTGCAGTTATCTGTAATGTCACTGTGGTGTTTATTTGTGTCTGCCTTTCTAGTAATTTCAGCCAAGCTGAAAGAAAACAAAAAGAACTGGTTTGGTCCTAGTCCATATGTTGAGGTAGCTGTGGATGGCCAGTCCAAGAGGACTGACAAGTGCAACAACACACACAGTCCCAAATGGAAGCAAGCTCTCACGGTGTAAGTACAGCCCAGTGTTTGTGATAGCAGAGAAAGCAGTTGAAGAAATTGCTGGGTAATTACTAGGTGATGTGCTAGAAACAGATGGTAGAAATATTATAAATCTGAACTGTTTTTACCAAGGGTGTAATGATACACGATACAGGGCCTACAGTTCAGTACACTCACAATAACACAGTGAGAATGAAAATTAGTGTCACGGTTATTTACTTGTTCTTGTAAATCACAAAACAATTTCCAAACATTTAGTTTCTCATTCAGACATTTCCTTTATTGTGTAGATGAGAGTGTAATTAGAGTGTGGTTAATGACCTGTAGCTAACTAGTGAATGTCAGGGTCAACAGCAGCTCAGTTAAGACAATGACCCCCTCTTGCATGATGCATATTGTCACATTTTTAAATCATGGCATATTGTTCACGATGCATTGCTACACAAATATGTAATATCTGACTGAAGATAGCAAGTGAGCCCACACAGTCTGCGGAAGAACACTGAAAGCTTTACTATGGTTGTGAATGTGCCATTAACATAGGGCTCACTGTGTATCAATTATTTAGTGACTCTCTAGCTAAACTAATAACCTACCATACATGTATTTTATTAATAATGCATAAATCATTAGACCAACTGCTTATCAACTGTACTGAATAGCAAATAAATCCTCACATTGTTTTGACTAGCAAAGGTTTATTAGTTTAGATTATTTATTCAGTCATCACGCATAGTGCAATAAGTATAATCAGTTCAAACAATACAGATTTAAAAAAAGAGCACTCAGAGAGAGCATGTACCTCCACCAAGGCACAACATTCGCTCCCGCAAATGGGTCCTTTGTGAAAAATGTGATCCAGAACAACACAAAATGCATCCTAAAATCCTTAATCCATACTGGATCCAGATCATCTTTTAGGGTATGATAGGTAGCCAGCCATACTGTGCATCTTACCTGGATTATATCTTCATTAAGATGGGGTTTCTTTTGTGGGTGTGTGATTGATTGGTTCACTGTAAATCTTTTCAGCACTGGTGCAGATCATCCTTTTTCTCTGCTCTTGGCTCACACACTGTCCTGCCATTTTCTCACTTTTCTGCAGAATTGTGACCCCTGTCAGCAAACTGACGTTTCGTGTTTGGAGCCACCAGACACTGAAGTCAGATATCCTGTTGGGACTGGCAACTCTGGAGATTCGTGAGATCCTTAAGGCTAATGACCTGAAATGCAAGTTCATACTTCTTTTTATTTGTGCTTTTATTTTTTCAGTTGAATTTTCTAAAAGTTGACCAAAACTATTCCAAACTTTCTGCTCAGTTTTAAATTATTTTGTTGATACTTGTATAAGAGTACATATCTGCTTGTGTTTGTTATGGGAATGATTTATTGGGCTTTGATACGTTTGACAACCAAAATGTACTACTAGGTTTTCTTTTCCCTCACTGACGCATCACTTTCTCTATGCTCAGTGCAATGGATCTTATCAGAGCTGATTAGCATGCACTAAACATGTGACGTTAAAGTCTGGTCCATATTTTGTGTTACAGCTGCTTTCTTTTAATTTGCCAACAAGATCCTAAAAGCTCTGCTAGTAGCCCCTCAAGGCCATATTATTTGTTATACCCCATGTGAATGAAGTTCTCTGAGCTGGCTGGCACTGCCATCTGAACATGCCCCAAATTAAGTTAGTAAAACTGTCCAAAGAGATAATTTGGAAAACAGTCAATAAAATAGAATACAGCAATAAAATCTTGGCAATAATGCAATTAAAACTTACCTACCATTTACACATACAACACACCACACTGTCATTGATTACTTGTCGTCAGCACTGAGGGCAGGACATAATTCTTTAAAACCTTAAAACCACAGAGCACCAATTCCAACCCACACAAATCCCATTTCGTTTAAAAAAAAAAAAAAAAAAAAAAAAAAAAACCAATAACTGTGGGGATAAAAGACCTCGTCTGTTGATTTCTATCACCTCTTGGAAGATAAAACCTCCTTCCTCCTTAATCTCACTATGTAATGATTGATGGGGATCTAAAAAGAATAGCTGCACCTTCTGTATGACTCTAGCCTGATGCAGTGTTTCCCACAGAATTTGATTCTACTTGGTAGTAGCTTAGAGCGGCATGGAAGGGTCATGCTTTCAGATACATATTTTTTTAATATAGTAATAGTATAGTGCCTCTGTGCTTGCTGTTCACCTGTGCCTTTGGCACTGGCTAGCTCTCTCACAGCAACAGCATGCTGGCTGCTGCCCACCTCCTCCCCTGCATTTGTCTCTTCAGCTCCCTCTTCCTGACCCCCTCTTGCTTCTTCAGTAGCACTGGTTGAGGCCAGTATATATTTGAAATGAACCCATGTGTGTTGGAATGGGGGGGGGGGGGGGCAAACATTCAGGATCAGAGTTTATGAACTAGCATTAACTTTATCCACTTGCAGAGCAGTCCATATGCATCCTTGTTATATACAGCACGCTAACCTCTGCAACAGCTGCATTCTAACATTAGCTTAGCTAGTCTTATGCTAATAACAGAAGAGCTGGATCTCTGTGATTGATAGTGTTGTGTTTAAAAAAACACATACACAGAGGAGGAGCTGTTCACAGATGGTCTGTTGTCATGGTTGTGGTGTGTGTATGTGTGAGAGAGAAATAGAGCAGGGCACAGAGGGACTGAGCAAATGTATGTGCTATGCTGGCACTGCATTGAAATAAGATTTAACCTATTTTAAACATGAAAAATAGAAAACCAATATGTGCAGTCAGTGTTGATATTGTGGCCCTGAGATGGCAAAGATCTTCAAGTGACCTTTGAGCTAACATTCACAATCCTTCACAGTACATTTGTGTTATCTACTCTCACATGCAAGGATGACAACAGTAACAAGTTATTTTGAAGATGAGCTGGTTATGAGGAACCAGTGAGGGAAGCTGTTGGAAAATGTTTCTAAGGATATATATATATGTATATATTTTTTTATTTTTATCTCTGATATATCATTAGGGAAAGCATTTACATATATGCATGGGCAATTTTTACTAATCCTCAAACTTAGCATATGTTCTTATTCTGTCTCGATGGGCTAATGTGGGTTATTGTATAATTAGTTGCCGAGTCTTGCAAATTACAAGCACATTTTCCTGTTGTGGTAAATATGTTGATTCTGTCCCCAACAGTGTATGAGGTGGTGCAGACACTGCAGCTGTGCTCTGACAAAGACCCTCGTGATGTTGTAGGTGATCTGTCAGTCTGTTTGGACGGCATGCAGGTGGACCCAGAAACCTTCACCTCACTAGAAAGAGAATATGGTCAGGAACCACACACAGAGATAAACCTAATACACACATGTACAGGGTTGACCACAATAACAGTCTGAAAACCTTAACTACAAAACCAACAAGTTTGAGTCAGTGTTGCCATTATATATCTTTCTCTCCAGGGAGCACTAAAGTATGCTTTTCACTAGAAACCTTCTTCTTTTTACATATCTTAGCCACAGTTCTTTTACCAGTATCTGCCTCAAGAAAATCTAGTATTTATTAAATGAACATGTGCTCTGAATGAACAGGTCTCTAGTACTCTGTTTTAAGTACTGTATTTTTAGCCCTAATTATCTCATTTCAATGAACATTTCCTTGTTGTCTGCATTGTTTACTGTCTGTTTATACTGCTTTTTCTGCATTGTTTGCACTGGTTGTTGATGTTAATACTGCTATTTTGTTATATTACACAGCCTTATGCTGGTTTACTGTTTACACATTGAGAGCCGATGTGCCTGAGTCCAACACACCTGGCCAATAAACTGATTCTGATTCTGAACATTGAAGTGCCAAAGCAAAACTTTTCCTTCCAACTATAGGCTGTAGTTGTAGCATTCTGAATTTTTTCAGTTCATTCAGTTTTTTTCACTTGCCTTCTTTTTCTCTGTCATTGTAGCTGCTGTTCCAAATGGAAATAAAAGACAAAATGGGGACACTAGTAACAGGTTTAGCAAACATTTAATTAACCTACTGACCTATACATGTTTTAATGCATATCTTGTGTTTGGGGTTAGTGAGCGTTAATATTCACATTTTGATTCTCAGGTCAAGCAGAGACGCGTCTCCCTCCAGTGACTCAGAGGAGTGGGTCATTGTTCCTAATTCTGTCGACGGTATGGTTTCTCCTTCCCAGTCTCCAGGGGGCTCCACTGCCTTGCGTCCTCCCAGACCTGCCCGACCCCCTCCGCCAATGCCCCGCAGACCTGCGGTCTCACCAAGTAGGGGAAGCATGAGAATTCACAGTACAACATTTGCTTATATACAGTTTGACCTACCAGACATTTTCCATTGTCACATACTATGGATTTTCTTTCACATATAGAAACAGTATGTGCACATTTGTGTGTACCAATACCCATAAAGGCAAATACAAATGAATTCTCGGACTTAGAGGCTTCTTCTCTGCACTTGTCCCCAGTCCTCTCCCCAGCCTCTTCCAGCAGTTCCTCACCTAGCGAGTTGAGTGAGGGCCCAGTTTCTGATGGCTCCTCTCAGGCATCTGCCAGTGGGTGCTCAGATCAGCAGGATGAATCAGGTGCTGCGACAGCAAGTTCCTCACAGACAGCAAGTGGCCCAAAACCAGTGGACTCTTCTTCCTCAGCAGCTCCAGCCACAGCAACTCCAAGAACAACACCAATGAGCAATGGTCCCTTGCCCCCAGGGTAAAAGAGATCACCACTATACCTCGTTCTACAAGTCTTCACTAGAGCCACTGTTAACAGGCATTTTAGACTGAAGCCTTAGAAATGTTTGTGTGTTGTTATATTATGTAGTTTTAAGTATTTTAAAGAAGTTTTTCAGTGGCAGAATCTTGTTTCTCTGCAGTTGATTTCATTTTGGGTCCTGCTGTCTGTCCTTTTCCTTAGCTCACCCACTTGTATTGTCTCTGCAGGTGGGAGCAAAGAGCGGACCAGAATGGACGTGTGTACTATGTGGATCACATTGAGAAAAGGACAACCTGGGACAGGCCTGAGCCTTTACCTACAGGGTACCAAAACACTTAAATGATCTCAGATTAACACAGACTTATATTATAACCACTTCTACCATTATTGTAGTTCTGCACTCTTTTTTTAAATTCACATTATGGTTTTATTATAATGTCCATGACAGGTGATTGTGTAACTGATTTAAATAACCATTGTTTCTGCTTTTATGTGAGATCTAGGTTAAGCTCTAGGGCACACCTGCTGTTTGGCCTACTCAGCACTGCCTTATTTTAGCTCTCCCTTTTCTGTAGGTGGGAGCGCAGGGTGGACCCAATGGGTAGGGTGTACTATGTGGATCACATAACCAGAACTACTACATGGCAACGCCCAACGCAGGAGTCAGTGCGTAACTATGAGGAGTGGCAGCACCAGCGCAGCCAGTTGCAGGGGGCCATGCAGCAGTTTAACCAGAGGTTCATTTATGGGGTGAGAACACTTATAGCCATATTTGCTAGATTTGTTGTTTTCATGAAACACAGTTTGAAGATTTTTTTTTTTTTACAAACGTGTGTTTGTTCAGATTTATTTATGAGGAAAATTAAGTAGATATTTTGAGGAATAAAGAAAATGCTTGTGTACTGTAGGGCAATGCATGAAAGTATTGAAAGCATTTATTTCTACCATATAACACTGCACTATAATAATGCTGTATACATTTTTGGTTAGCAGCATTTTTGATGTGCTCCCCAAATGAAGTGATTTGCGTTTGACACTTCTGGTGGCTTTCTATTTTCATGAGTCAACCCACTTTAATCAAGCTGAGCCGGACAGGCGCAGGTTGGCCTCCGTTTCCACATGTTCCTAGCAGCAGGTGGTAATCGTGCTGACTTGAGCTCAGCTGGTCCTGCTTCCACCCAGGGCTGAGTGGGACATGTGATTGGCTGAAATGTTGCGCGGAGGGAAAGTCCTTACACATTCAGCATTGATTTTTTTTTAATGTTTTTTTTTTTTTTTTTTTTACCCATAATTTCATTGCAACACGATTTGAAAATGGAATCCCCCACTTTGTCTTCTGAGCAGCTCGTGTGCCCCCACATAATCAAGGTACGGAACATAAACATTGTTTATGTTCTGCAACCACACTGACTTGGGAGCAGCTCAGCAGGGCTTCAGTGCTCATCTCATTGTAAAAACCAGGGTTGTAAAAAGTCCCAGTCATTCTCATTTCTTTTTTAAGATCACACATTTGACAACTCAACTGAAATGAGCTAACGTGAGGTTCTGCATCAACAGTATTGGATCCTAGTAATGGATAACAGCTATTTGCATGTTTTAAGTGATATGTTTGAGAAACGCTTAACACCCAGTGGGAATCAGGATAAGTATATGGGCTATTACACTTGCTTTGTGGTAATTTGTAAAAGCAGTTTTGACATTTTTTGTTTTGGAATTAGTGTCATGTTCTCTCTTCTGTTCAGCTCCAAGACCAGTTTGCAGCTACGGCCAATAAAGAGTTCGACCCCCTGGGACCTTTACCACATGGTTGGGGTAAGTACTCTATGACTGAACATTAGACATAGTGTAAGTTTAATTACTGAAATGTATAATAAAGATGTTTTGTAGAGCTGTGGCTTTGTAGTTAGTAGCTATGCATGACGACAAATTAATACTGAAAAAAAATCTATATCATACATGTTTTATGTCAGAGAAGAGAACAGACACCAATGGCAGAGTGTATTTTGTTCATCATCCTACTCGCGCGACACAGTGGGAGGATCCCAGGACACAGGGGTAAGTGTGCTTGTGCCTCACTGTGTAACATGATGCTTCATGCTGTCATACCTTTGTGATTCTAACAGTGTAACATTTTATTAAAGCTTCTGCTTAAAGTTGTATGTAAAATTGTCAGTGATGATGGTGCAGTTACCTCAACTATGCTTTCCCTTTATTGCCTATGAGAGGTACTAAAGTGTCACTGACATGCTCAGTGCCTGTATTCATAATACTTTTCACGGAGTATAGAAATTCAAGTGGTCCAAAGTTCTGAGTGACAGCATTTTTGTCCTTCTTTTTGGCTTACAAATAAATAGATTTTATCAACTGTCTTAACTAAGGAAATGACCCTAATCTGCAGCTGCATGCAGAAAGTTGAAGATAAAAATATTAGACACTGGATTCAAATAAGACTCGTTTTGTACAGCAAACTGTAAACTGTGCCTATACTGAATCAGCAAATAAACTGCTGAAAGGGAAGGGCATCTGACTGTCCAATGTAACCAGTCGATGACTGTTAGGTTCACTGTTCACTGTTAAAAACGAAAGGGCATGTTTTTTGAAAACCTTTCCTGGTTTATATTAATTTTAAGGCTCTGGAATTCTCATTATTCCTCCAATTAAATTTGAGTTTGGCATACCTTTATATTCTGTTTCAAAAAATGATCATTTCAAACAAAATATACTTGTATACATGTAATATTTAGTAGTCTGATTATATTTTCTGTGACCCTGTTTATTTCTAGCAAAGCCTAAGGTTGAGAAACACAGCTTCATGGTAGTCATTTAATATTTTGAGTGATGCACATATTATAATCTATATTTTTGATGTGGACATAAATCATTTTTATGTTCCGTTTTGTGTACTGTCAGTTTTGTTTAATATTCAGTTCCCTAATTTCCCTAGTAATGTCAACTTTGACTCACATCGATCTGTATTGTCCAGTCTGCTGAATGACAAACCCCTGCCAGAGGGTTGGGAGATGAGGTTCACTGTGGACGGTATCCCCTACTTTGTAGACCACAACAGGCGAACAACAACCTACATTGATCCCCGCACAGGGAAATCTTCACTGTAAGCTGTCACAGGAAAAGAACAAACTTGAAGTCTACATTAAGAGATAGATGCTATTGTTCCTAAAAGGAACCAGTTTTACTATACACAGAGTAAATTAATTCATTATCAATATAAAAATGATTGTTCATTCTATGTCTAAATGCATTTTAATTAGTGATCTGTATGTCTGATGATGATAATGATCAGTAGCAGCCTGACAAAGTTGAATCAGAATTGTACAGGAACAGAATGGAAGTGTAATTACATTTGTCAAATTACTAATATTTATAACGATGTCATCTAAATGTGCTTTTTGATGGTGAGGATTTTTCTTCCGGTCTTGTCCACAGTGAGAATGGGCCACAGATAACCTATGTCAGGGATTTCAAAGCCAAAGTGCAATACTTCAGGTTCTGGTGTCAGGTATGTGCTGTTTGAACACCCCAGCACACGTGGTAAATGATAAACTTATTGGATCTATATTGTCATATTGTCAGCTGGCACTGTCTTTTGATATTTACTGGTACTTGAATATGCAAAGATAAAAATGAATATCACCAGTTTGCTGATGCATAAAGCATTCAAGTTGTTAGTTGTCTAAAATGTCAATATTAGTTAATATTCTTTTTTTTCCTCCTCTTAGCAATTGTCAATGCCTCAGCACATTAAGATTACCGTCTCCCGGAAAACCTTGTTTGAGGATTCATTCCAACAGGTGATCTCAGTACTCTGTCTTCTTACTAGGGATGCACCGATGCCGCTTTTCTCAGACCAAGTACACGCACATGCATTTAAGTGCTCGCTGATACCGAGTAATGATACCGAGTACTTAATAATGCAGTGTTTCTACTACAAAAAAATACAATGAGATTTACTTTGTGATTGTAATTAAATATACCAGGAGGCTGTTATATCAGCAGCAGCAACAGACGCCACGTTTAACTTAAGAATTTCTGTTTTTTCATCTTTTGAGTGGGACGTGTCCCCTGGTCCACCGTGGAGATTATGCTCTAGTAATAAGATTATCTATTGTTATAACATTCACCCTGTGACAAATGGCTACTAATTCACATTCTGCCAGGGAATAAAATCAGCCTAACATTTGATTATGTGGGCAATTACAGTTGCCACAGTAGGAAAATTGTTTACATGGCCCTCGAAACAAGCCACAATTTAACCTTGCACATGAATGAGTCATAGGTAGGCTCCTGTACTTTAATAACTAGCACTACACCTCTGCTTGCCAATGCTGCAGGTGTGGAACTGTTCTAATTCTTTGTCTGCATTCAAAGATCATGAGCCTCCACCCTCAAGACCTGAGACGGAGACTGTGGATCATTTTCCCTGGAGAGGAGGGCTTGGACTATGGAGGTGTGGCCAGGTAAGTTCAACTGAAGTTTTTTGTTGGCTTAGTTGTACTGTGTAATAAGGTGTGTTTTGTTGTCTTTTGTACGACACCACCCTCACCCACGAAACAAAACCTGCTTTAATAATAACATTGTGCAAACCACCTCACTCAGCCATGATCTTCTCCACTTAACCGTTTCTGTGTCTTGTTCTCTTTGTGTCTTGTTTATACTCAGGGAATGGTTTTTCTTGCTGTCTCACGAGGTACTCAACCCAATGTACTGTTTGTTTGAGTATGCTGGCAAGGACAACTACTGCCTGCAGATCAACCCTGCCTCTTACATCAACCCTGATCACCTCAAGTATTTCAAGTTCATAGGACGCTTCATTGCCATGGTACCTTAATATCAGCACACTAACTATGCCGTCAGTATTTGAGTGATGGCGTGATTAATTTCATCATAACACCTGACAGCCTTTCCTTTCCTTTCTAGGCTTTGTTCCATGGCAAATTCATTGACACCGGTTTCTCCCTGCCCTTCTACAAGCGTATTCTGAACAAACCTCTGGCTCTCAAAGACCTGGAGTCCATAGATCCAGAGTTTTACAACTCACTCATCTGGATCAAGTAGGTCTGGGGATGCAAACCTTGATATGTGACTTGATGGGGTTAGGGTTACTCGTGAACATGTACTTGATGCGGAGGGCTTGGGTGGTTAATTTCGGTTAAGGACTGGAATTTCCCCACTGTGGGATCAATAAAGTTCTACCTACCTACCTTAAAATGGCATGTTGGTCATCTGCTGTGGTGTACCCTAGTTTATTATATTAGCGTCTGTTTCACTGTTGAGCTGATGAATGTGGATGGAAATACATAGATACACTTTTCATACTTAGGATTTTGCTTGTTTAACATCATGCTATCTTTGACATCTCTTAAACATATATAAACAATTTAATACTAAAGGCTATTATTCTTAATAAGTGCACACAGATAATTGATTTGAGAGGAAAACTTCTCATTTCTTAATTTTTATGGACAGTTTATAAATGTAACTATTCAGTCGTACTTGGTACATACATACATGACTCAAAAATAAAGTGGTTGAAGCCAAATTTAGATGACACATAATATATATAAATCCAGAGCTATCCAACAAAATTTGATGACTTCACCTGTAGGTGAATCATGACTAATGTGCCATAACTTACATCCGTCATGGCACAGGACACATGGACAGCCTATATGACTTTTGCACAATTCACCCTTAGGCAAAACCCTAGCCATGATTGAGATCTTCATGTAGTCTTTCTCTGTGACTTATCCAGATCCACATGCAGGTCAAACATTTCTTAAAATCTTCTGTAATTCAAAAGAAAAATGTAACAGACTTTGTTGCCTCAGTAGAGGTGTGTGCTCTCTGAGTGTTTTCCAGTTTTGCTGATAATGACTCTATGGCCTGCAGGGATAATAACATAGAGGAGTGCGGTCTGGAGATGTTCTTCTCAGTCGACAAAGAGATCCTGGGGGAGGTTACCACTCATGAGCTGAAACCAGATGGAGGTAACATCCAAGTAACTGAGGAAAACAAGGAAGAATACATCAGGTACCGCTGCGTCTTATCCGCCATTTGTCTTCAACCACCACATTTACATTCACTTTTATATCTAACACATTTAGAAACTGACTGACTGGCAACGAAGCCGACTTGAAATCATAGCAAGAATATAATGCATTGAAATTACTACACAAGTCTTTAATATTTTAAGCAACCAGTAGTTTAAAGATCACTCTCAATTTGCACACAGGTCAAATTCATCATTTCAACAATTCGTCTTTACTTTATTTACTTTAGTTCAGGAGCAACAAGCCCGATCCGGACTCGGCACCTCTCAGATTGTGAGCAGCACCTGTTGTGATGGACCTGGCATTTAATTTGCATATGGAAGAAATTGAATATATGAATAATATATAAAAGGTCCCAGGTCTAATACTATACAACTAGCCTTTTACAACAGCATATATACAATAAAAAGAGGCAGTTAGACTAATTATGTCACAACATAAACAGCCTGTGCAGGTCACACTGAGTCAGGTGCATATTTAGCATAACATTATGTTAGCCACAGGGCAAAAATGTGAAAAGGACAGGCAAATTTGCCTTGCAAGTATTTCAAGTCGGAGCAGGGCAAAGCTAGTCAGAAATCAAAAGCTAAAAAGGCCAAACTGGCCCGCAAGAAAAAGTTAGCACAAGCCAGTCTGATGATGAGGTCATGGATTTCAAAAGGACTGAAACATAGCACAGAATAACATGAAAGAAGATTCCTGTCCAATGACTATATTGTGGGCTGTTTTAAATAATGGAGAGTAAGAGCAGGTTTATTTAAGCTTACTGCATTTTACAGTCTCTGTACTTTAAATTTGTTGCTGTAATACTGTGACTATAATGTTAATGTGTAGTGGAGTATTAAGGCCCTAAGTATAATGTTAGGCTTGCTAGTGATTGAACGGGTTAGAGGCTGTAGCCGTGCAGTTCTAATGTATTTAGCATCACCTGTGTTCAACATTTATAACTGGTACGTGCAAATGTGTCTTCTTTTGTGAATTTTTTATTTTTTTTATTTTTGATCGCTACAAACACACAAATAGTTTGCCTCTAAGCTGCTCCCTTAATGTGGAAACTATGCAAACGCACCTGTCATTGAGGAAATGTTTTTCATTGCAGGACCTCCTCTCCGCATATCAAAATGCTGGGTCTGTCACCAGGTGATATTCCAGGATCTCATGATTTACAAATGAAGCACTGCCTTACTTTATGTTCCTATTTTTGTATACAGGTTGGTAGCAGAGTGGAGGCTGTCTAGAGGTGTGGAAGAGCAGACCCAAGCATTCTTTGAGGGTTTCAATGAAGTTCTGCCCCAGCAATACCTTCAGTACTTTGATGCTAAAGAATTAGAGGTAATGAAGAAACTAGAACCAATTCTCTAGAACCTGTACTAAAACAGGGACATTTTATGTTTGGCTAATGTTGTTCCCTCAAAATTGATGCTGTAATGGTCTGTATTAAAACCAATTATCATAATGTACGATAGGTATAACTCCATCTTGTTTCCTTCTTGCTTGCAGGTGATGCTGTGTGGAATGCAGGAGATAGACCTGGTGGACTGGCAAAGAAACACTATCTATAGACATTATGCCCGAAGTAGTAAGCAGATCCTGTGGTTCTGGCAGGTTTGTGTTGAAGCACATTCACCCACAGACTGTACTGTTCAGTCTGACTGCAGTTTTTAGTAGCTGGTTGTTGTTGTTGTTCCTTGTTGGACTGCATTTTCTCTTTCATTCCATATTTAGGAATATATGGTTTTGGCCTAATTAATCTACAGACTGATATTAACGCAGAATGATATATTCACAGTTTGTAAAGGAGATGGACAATGAGAAGAGGATGAGACTTCTGCAGTTCGTCACAGGAACCTGTCGTCTTCCTGTGGGTGGCTTTGCTGACCTGTTGGGTATGCAAAGTGGACATGCACACATATTTGCATTGTGCAGTATGTCAAATCAGAATTGTTTTCTTGATCTGATTTTCTTTCTGGTTATCATAGGAAGCAACGGCCCACAAAAGTTCTGCATTGAGAAAGTAGGAAAAGAGAACTGGCTTCCACGAAGCCACACATGGTAAGGCCAAGAATTTTACTGCCACTTACATAGATGTCCTTCTCTTTCAGGTATTTGACTAGATGTCTGGTCCAAAAGGATTGAACGTTCACATCTATGCTGTCTTAGTCATTTCTGATTCAAAGTGTTGAAAGCCTTCCGTTATACTTAGCCTTTACTTATGGCATTTGAAGTTATATGTTACATATATACAGTTACCATGTGAGAATAACAAGATAACATCCCACTTCCGGGTCCAAACTCCCCCAGACCCAAATGGCAGAGCCTGTCACCCTCTACACAGTAACATCTTTTTTTTTTTTTTTTTTAGTGAGACATCAATGAGTTAAAAAAAACATGACTACATTCTTAATACTCAAATGGAGTAGGTAGTGTTGCCTCTCCACTTGGTGGCATAATAATCAATCTTTAATGCACGTCGTAGTAAATGTATTACAATATATAGCTATATATATCGAGTTATATGTCTAACCCATTTTTAATAGGTCCCAACTTTTACTGCTAATTTCATCAGTGTAAAATGTGTTAGTCTATTACGTTTATATCTATGCAGATTCTCGCGCAGCAGCGCACGTTTACGTTAACTTTGTGCTAACTAGCTAGTTAATGTTACAAGACTGCAAAACAGCGCACTTTTTATATGCTTTTATTTTATTAATTTAGGAATACTGTGACTTTTCTAATCAACTGTAGCCATTTCTTTTTCTCCTTCCCGTCGCAAGGATAATAGTAAAAGACACCTAACCCATGATTTCTGATTCAGATCTACTGAAACAGTGGGGATAGCAACACTGTTATATGGAGAAGAGAAGAACAAACCTAAGTTTGGACCCGGAAACAGAATGTTGCGGCACCACTTAACAAGCGGATATCATTGCTGTTTCTTGAGTGATACAGTTTTTCAGTGTGTTTTGTCAGGCAAAAGAAAATTAAGCAACCAGATAATTCAGTATCATAACACAGAAGAAGCAGGAAAACATTTTTTTTAATATTTAATTTTTAATTGTTTATATCTGTAAGTATGGATAATAGTTTGACATAAGGACCGGTGCATTTAGTTTACCATGGAACTGGGAATGGAACTCTAGCAGGTTACATGGTGAATTCAATATATTCCTGTGAAAAGTCATTTAGTTTCTGTCTCATTTCTCCATGTAGCTTTAATCGTCTGGACCTCCCTCCTTACAAGAGCTATGAGCAGCTGAAGGAGAAGCTCATGTTCGCCATAGAAGAGACAGAAGGATTTGGGCAGGAGTAGTGCGACAAGTAGCTGCAGGACAGGATGGAGGAGTGGTGGGCCTGGAGGAGTCGTATCCATTTCAGACTAGAGCACTTTCCAACAGATTCTCCTGGCAGCCAGGAGCTTCTTGTTAACTTGTAGATGGATGTACACATTTTTATGTTCTATTACATTATCATGTGCAACAACAGCAGTTTTTTTTTTAGCTAATCAATTTAAAAGACTAATTAAATCAATTAATTTGTTCCACAAGAAACCTGTGAATCCTTTTCACCCTGTTTTACTGCTTGCGTGTGTATCAGTTCCTCGTTAATCCCGCTGATCTCACTCAGCCCTGCTCGGCCCACTATCAGGTGATGGAGGCAGAAGAAACACCTCTCTCACCCTGTCATGCCTCTGTATGTTGCGCAATTGCAGTTTCTGCACGCATATCTATGAATCCTTGGTAAGTAATGGCCTAAGAGTCGCCTTGTTGGGTCTATGCACTAGAATGAATCATTTTAAAGGGAAGAAACATATTTGTACATTTTGAGCCTAAAAAGGTCTGTAACAGTAACAGTAAAAGGCAAATATAGTTTCAGGTCTTTCATACTCAACTTATTATTATTTGTTGAAAGGATGAATGGATGAGTGTTTTTTTTTTTTTTTTTATTGCTGACTGGCTGGACTGACCTTAGTACTTTTGCAGTTTCTGTAATAACTGGTAATCAAGCTAGTTGTAAAAATGTCTTCTATTTTGACAGGTTGACTTCGTAACTTAATGAGTTAAAGCTTTGAGCTAGTGTGCACATGGTTACGTGAGCAGTAAGATGATTGCAGTTGTTCCTAGGAGAGGTTGTATTTTTCTGTGCAGTAGTTTTTTAGAAAACATTTTTCCAGTAATAGAGCTAAAGAGGTTCTTGGATCGTTTTTATAACACTTTGCTAAGTTTCAACATTTACTATTGATTTCAGTTTCCAAGATAAAGAACATTTGCATATTTGCAGGTGTTGTCTGTGAAACTGTTATGGTTGTGATTTGATTAGACAAACTTTACCTTGTGGCCTGTGCTGTATATAATGTGAGCTTATTTGACCAGGGGTGGTCACTTCCTTTATTTGTGAGGAAGACTAAAAGCATGAGGTCTTTTTTTGAAAATTACGAGCTGTTATTCATGACGTGGGAGCATTAGGATGCGCTGTGTAATAGTGATCAGTGATTTGTTAACCCATTCCACTGAATGGTAGTCATTTCTCTGGTAGATATCCAGAATTAAGTATTATCCTAAATCAATAATGAAGACACTGGATCCTAACTGTTTCATATGTGAAGTGACTAATGTAGTTTATGTAAATATACTTACAAGGTAGAAAAAATGTCTTTATTAATATATAATACATAGAATTCACCCAAGCAGTGGACCCATTTGACTTGCAGACTTAAGCTGATAATTAAGATTTGAATTAATGCAGTACAAAATGGCCCTAGTTTTATAGGGTGTTACATAGCCGTGCGTGTACAGTAGCCCTAATAGTGTATTTAATGGCTTTTCTGAAAATAGTTTAGCTAATTTTAATCTTTGTTTCTTTTAGTATCATTTAAAGAAAATTACTCTGAAACAAATCTACCAAAGGATTTTATTGAATTATTTGTAAAACATTTGACTTTAAAGTCTGAGTCATCAGGTATGCTCAGTTCATTGCATCCCCGAAACGATTTACACAGTTTACATCAGTTGTTACGGCTAAGTTATTAATTGTGTTTCATTTTACCCACTATAAGGTACAAATCGTAAACAAAAAGGTAGCTCTGTTACTGGATCTCAATTTTTAACAGAATTTCAGTAATTATATACTGTTAAAAACAAACACTGATTTGGACTTAGGAGAGTGTTAAGGAAGATGAGTCTTAATCTTGCTAAGAAATGTTTACTCTATATTACTGTGGAGTTGAAATGTTTTTTAAAGGCCTGTAACTAAAATGGATTTGTATTTATTCACAGTATTAACTTTCTACTGTGAGGGGTTGTTGAATTATTAGCAGAACCAAATGAATAAATTGTACTTTCATATATTTTAACCACTAATAATTGCCCTAGCATCAAGTTCTAACATCTTGACACTTAAAACTGGTTGAATTAACCATGTCTTTGTTTTAGTCACTGCTGTGTTCCAGATCGTGGGACAGTTAAATGTATAGAAATATGCAAAATAGTGTTTTAGATGTACTGGTTGAATTGTAAATTATATTGATAGTGTAATCACTGTTTTTTTTTTTTTTGAAGCTATACCTCTTTTGATAAATGGAAATCAGTGGTTGAATATTATTTATTTGGAGAATGGGTTTCATGTAACAGTGAATTGAACTGATTGAGAAAAAAAACTGTAATAAAATAAAACACTGGACTCCTGCAGGACATTTCTGAGGTGTAATATTTATTGTCACTGCGACTTTATGTTCAAGACACATTATTTTTTTCTTTATATATGTAGCCGGGTCAGGTAATAAAATTACAGTTTCCTAAGGGGAGTAACTGAAACTCTCCCTGGTGCAGTAAGGTGTTGTTTAGTAAGTGCCCAGTGAGTGTTGCTATGATAGTTGTATACATGCAGTGCTCACCCACAGCTGTATGAGTGCGCATCTGTTCTGACGTCGTCACTGTGTGACAGGCGAGTGTCCCGCGGGAAAAAAAGAGAAACGCAGGGAGATACAAAGCTCTGTGACGGCAGGGGAGACAACACTGTCTACGAGTTCGGGGTATTTACTCCAGCCTGAACAGGAATCCCGGCATCTTGAAGAATAAGTCCACTACTGCTGTCTTATTTTTGTTCGACATATAAAAAAGGGACTGACTATTGTTAATTAAACCCTTCTGTTAAGTAAAAACCAACTTCAACCAAAATTAATGCTGTCCTATTATTTGATAACAAGGGCAGTCGGGAAATAGGACCCACATTTGTTTTGGAGCTGTAGGTGTTGGTCCGAAAACCATACACCTGGCCATACATTACCACACCCCAGCCCCAACATATATTTCTTCTAGAAACAATAAGGCAACAGTTGTTTTGCATATTGTCCTCATGCATGACAATTTGTGAAAGGAAATTTAAATAGTAATATGCCCATCTTAGTAGCTGCAATTTTTGGGTACAGATAAAAGAATATCCAGTGGCTTAAGAACATATTCAGACAGACTTAATTTTAGCAATGTTATCATTGCTACCCACCAAATTACACTTAATAATCCATTGCTAAAATGAAAACTTTTAAACATTTTTGCAAATCTAATAAATATCAAAACTTAATTTACAATGTATTTCCCTTCAATGTACTATAGAATGCTATTTACACATAAATGTAACAGTAGTATTGATGCAAGGCTGGAAGTAATATTTGAAAATGTATATACAGTGTGTGTATAGCAACTTTTTTCATCCAGTGATCATTGTACTTAATGTTGGCTTGTTACATTACATCTACAGTATCTACATTATCAATATCATCTTATACAAAATAATACAGTTAAATATGTGGCAGTTTACTAACTTAATAGTATTACTGTATAAATTAGCTACATGTGTGTAAATGGAAAGAAACTAATAAGGTTTTCATACTTCAAGATGACTCCCTGACAGTGGCCCAAAAGATTTGTGTAGCTTTTAAGTATGTTTGTAAGAAAGACTTTGGATTGTTTTTCTATTATTTCCCTTTTTCTTCACTCCTTATTTTTTGTAGCTGATCATGTATATTCGTGAACTTCTTCTGTATGGTTTCTGTGAATAAAAAACTGAACTACAGCACCAAACCTTACAAAAGTAAGAAATATATTTGTTAAAATACTTATAGTAAATTGTTATTTATTTCCTCTTGTGACTTTATAATTATCTTCTTCCCCAAAATTTTTAATTAAATTTAATTAAATTTTTGTAACAAGACCACAAAACGTTTAGAGCTGAATTTACATACAGGTAGGAACCATAATGCACCACTGGACTACGGTACACATTCTCTGTGACACATCGACAATGTGTGTGCAACGTGTATTTGTGCCCCGCAGATTATATTTAAAGTCATGGCACGGCAAAGTCTGATAAAAACTCTTCTTTATACAATCAATAATCTGCTGCAGCAGGAAAAATACAAAGCGGGATTGGCAATTTTGAAGGGATTCAGAAATGGCGCCGTGTGAGTAAACTAGCCAGCTAGCACAGCTACGGTAACGTTGGTCTACTGTCTAGTCACAGAGATGACAGATAGACGTCTATTAGCTACGGTAGTTGGTTAGTAGCTGGCTTTTGGCTGGCTGCCATGCTTAGGGCAGTATTACATTTAGCTCGTATTTGCAGCAGTCTGTTTTCTGTTGATATATTGTGAATTTTGTTCAGGATACCAACGTTAATTGTATGAACAGGATCCGTATTTTGTGGTTAACTTGGTTGTGTTACCAGGCAGCGCTGTCATTAACATTAGTTTTTTTCTTTCTTCTCAGATATGGAGCAAAAATCAGAGCACCACATGCCCTGGTAATGACATTTCTATTCAGAAGTGGCAGGTAAGAACTTAAAATGAAATGTATTTATAGGTAACATTATCCTATTAATCTAATAGTCATATGTGGTGACTTCAATATAGATTTGTTAAATCCTAACAAGCACACAGGAACGGAGGAGTTTATTAACACATTATATAGATGCAGTTTATACCCAAAAATCACAAAACCAAGTAGATTAACAACCCAGCATGCGACACTAATAGATAATATATTTACCAATGATATTGAACGCAAAATGACAAGTGGATTACTTATAAATGATATTAGTGATCATCTACCAGTATTTTTGGTTTATGACTGCCATTATAGAAAAGAGAGGCCAAAAACAAATCTTTTCTATAGGAGGGTGATTAATGAACAAGCTGTAAGGAGGCTTAAGGAG